TATATGTATATATGGATAGTAATCCCTTTTCAGTTCTATGTGTAAATATTTCTCCCATTCAGTAGGTTGTCTTTTTATAACTTATTTATGCTTTCTTTTGCTATGTACATTTTTTTTTTAATTTGAGGTAATCTCTATTTAGTTTTGCTTTTTTATTTATTTATTTTTTTAATTTGAAGTAATCTCAATTTATATAGTTTTGCTTTTTTTTTATCCTGTCAGAGGGGTTGAGTTTCCAAAAATATCTATCAATGATTTCATAAAACAATGCCAATATTTTCTTATATATTTTATTGTTACAGGTCTTATGTTCAGGTTTTTCATGGAGTTAGAGTGACCCAACTTTATTCTTCCACATGTGGCCATCCAATTTTCCCAGGACCATTAATTAGCGGTTCTTCTTTTCTTATATTGTGGTCATGGTTGACTGACCATGAGTCAAGCACTGATATGTACCTGGGTTTGTTTTTGGGCTTTTGGTCTGTGCCCTTGATCCATGCACTTATTTTTATGCCAATGTTACACTGTGTTCAGTAGAGTTACTTTATAGTATATAATATCAGGTAACATGATGGCCTCCATTTCTTTTTTCCTCAACATTTCTTCTGCTGTTCAAGCCTTTTATGGACCCATATAAATTTCAATATTTTTGTTCAATTTCTTTAGAGAATATTTTTGGTATTTTTAAAATGTTATTTCTAGTCTTGTGTGTGTGTGTGTGTGTTTAAGATTTCTTCATTTATGCCTATAGACTAGGGTACAGGCCAGAGGCATAGGTCAGTGAGAGGATTCATCAGAGACAGAGTGGTGAGCAGAACAGGGATCGACCAAGTACATTGCTGAGGGCAGCAGCAGGTAGGTCAGGAGATGTCTGCCATGCCATGTGGATCACCTCCAAGGCCGGGGATGGAACTCACACTGAAGTAGCTGCGGCCAGCTTGCAGTGCTGCACTCTAACCAACTGCACCACCAGGAAGGCCCTACTACTGCTATTTTGATGGGGATTGTGTTATATTTATATAATGCTTTAGGTAGGATAGCCATTTTAATCGTATTGATTTTCCCCAACCCTAAGCATGAACGGCTGGAGGATGCTGTTGAAGGGAATATTCTCATGAAAACATCAGCTGGGCTCTATCTGGGGTCAGGAGGGCAGGAACAAAGCCAGAACACACCTTGTTCCTATGAGGACGAGCAGCTAATCTACTTCTTAGTTACTACTGAGTTATTTTTCTGTTCCTTGTAATAACTTTGTAGACTCTTCCTTGCACCCAGTCCATACTGTAAACATCCACAACAGTTTACTTCCTACCTCCTGAGGCAAGCTTGGAGAATTATTTAGAAGATAATCATCATAAATCAAATTCATCTTAGAGGAGTAAGGCACTAAGTTATGGTTTACCAGCAGATCCAACTATAAAAAAACTCTCCATTTTGCTATTAGTAGAATAATACCTTACCTGGTTTTTCTGGTTCTTGCTCCACACCTATCAGGTAACTTTTAGATTAGATTACACAGAGACTGACTGTAAAACCCACTTGGTATAGTTTCCAGAACTTTTTCTGGTCCATTACTCATTTCAAATTTTGTTAACACCTACATCAGGGTGAGTGGGAACAGAAAGGTTTAACAAAAGTGGAAATGATTATTATTTGAAAAATTTTTCTAAAACTTATAGGCACGAAACTACCTTAAATTAGCATCAACTTTGCATTTCTATTTTGAAAATTTACTAGTGTATATAGAGCATTACTAAATATATCTAAAAGATAATTATGCAGCAACATAACTCAAACATAACATTATTTCTGACCAATGAACTTGCAGGGTTTGCCCACAAGCCTTGTCTGAGCTGACTGCCTGAGTGGAATTCCCACTGCTTTTGGTATGGTTTTGGGAGTTGGGACATCGTCTTTATCTACTGGCTTCTGTGGTATTAACTGCATCTAAAATGAAAGATTCTACATTTAAATGTTGTCTGGAAAAAGTACAATATCTTTCTTTCTTTTATTCATTCATTTGAAATAATTATTGCTATCACAGTCTCATGTGCATTTTTCCTAAACCATAATGATTTGAGACTTATAGAGATTGGTAAGAGTTGGATTGTTTTTTCAAGTAGGCAATTTTGTGAAGCAAATGTAGTAATTTAATCTACTTTTTGGTTTCTCAAGATTTCATCTGTCCACAGGATGATTTCAGGGTCCATGTAATGTCTTACCTGGAGGCTAAGACCTGATCTTCAAAATCCTTTTTCTACATGTAAAATACAGGTGTGAGAACTTAAAGCACGTTCATTCATAGTTTCCTATATCTACTGCCTCAGAGTATCTCTGAGTTCCTTGTAATTAGTTTAAGAGAAACACAAGGAAAATGTTAGTCTTTTCAAACAAACTACATGTTTCCCTTAGGAATTTATACTAAAATGTGTATTTGCTTTTTAAAAACCAAAAGATATGAATATAAGAGATGTTATTCTGGGTCAGCCTGATGATCTAACCAGCCTGTGGTTTCAAAGTCTCATAGTATTGCATTAATGTTAGCCTCAAAAGTTCTGGGATTTATCTCAAACTCCCTGGTTTTATTTAATACTCAAAATTGGAGTTATCATTCATAAATTTATCAAAACTTTTTCTGAACTCACATCTTTTGTTTTTATCAACCACAGAAGCAATGAATCCTTCTGTGGCATGTATACTATATCCTATCTATCTATCATAAGACTACAGCGAGGAGCCTAACACTAAACAGAAGTGTAGAATTGGGGTGAATAATTCAATCTACAACATTTGTTCTCTTGTTCACAATTATATCCTTCTTGCATGTGAATCTTACTCATTCCTATCCTATAATAACCCCCTCAAAAAATTCAATCATAGTATCTGTCAAAAGTAAAAGATCTTGTGATCTATATCCGAGTTAAATAGACCTGGCTACTCTTGATCCACAGCCCTTCACTTGGATCACTGCAAATATCCTCATAGGTCTAGCTGCTGTTGCTCTCGTTCAACATCAAGAGGGACCTCCTCAAGAGGGTCCTCCTAAAATGTCAGGGTATATTCCTCCTCTACTCAGACTCTCCAGAATGATCCACCCATCTCAGTCAGAATAAATGTCAACAACATCCCTATACAGACTCCTCCACTTCTCCAGGCTCATCTCTTACTCCTCCTATGCTCAGATACAACTTCCTCCATTTGTTAATCTGGACAAGCCTCTTAGAATATTCTTTCCCAGAAACCCTATCTTCAGACATACTTAAAAGTTATTCCTTATAACTACATATAATCACAGATGTCCACAAGAGTAATTGTGCTATTATTTTTCAACGTATAACATATATATTATATACTATGTATAATCTTTATGCATATTATATATAATATATATAATGTAACATTAAATATAATATATATTGAATCAGTAGACAACTGAAATTAACATATGCCACTTATACCTCACTCTCACCACAGCACACCTACCACTGAAGCACCCATGATAGGTCTTCCCCATAGTCCACTGTGTACTCTCCCCATCCTGTTTTTGTTCCTCATTCCCCCTTCTGGATGTCTCAGTTTCTGGTCAGCTTTTAATATTTGTGCTTTAAAGCTTATTTTTGACCCTTTGTTTGGTTTCTCCATATTCCAGATAAGTAACATACATTAGTTTCATGCTAATACATGTTCAGTTATACCTTACTTTTTAAAATAGGCTCTTAACAGAGTTTTCTGTACATACTTATTGTATCAGTGAAAAATACAAAACTTTTTCATTGAAGAAAAAGCAAACCCCTCTATTAAAGACCTTCCATTGATAACACACCTAAGCTCCAATTTGTCCCTCTGACACCTCCTAAGTCCACTTCTTGCTTTACTTTTCTGTATTTAACTAACATATAACTAATTAGATAATATACAAATATACAACATAATTTGATTTGTCTATAAGATCATCACTATAAGCCTAGTTAATACCCATCACTATACATAGTTGCAATTTTTTTACTCTGTGATTGAGAACTTTTAAAATCTACTATTAGCCTTCAAAATATACTACTGGAATTATCAATAGTAACTATAATATGCTATATAGTAACTATAGTGTACATTACATTCTCATGACTTATTGTATAGTTAAAAGTTTGTACTTTGTAACCCCCTTCACCCATTTCTGCCACCATTTCTGTCACTGTCAACCACCAAATTGATTATCCATGAGCTTTGTGGTTTTGTTTTTAGATTTCACATAAAAGTGAGATGATATGGTATTTGACGTTCTCTGACTTATTTTATTTAGTGTAATGCACTCAAGTTTCATCCACGTGCTTTAAAGCAACAGGACAGGACTTCTTTCTTTTTCAAGCTAAATAATATTCACCATGTATATTTATATAAAATATTTTCTTTAAGCCTTTATAGTTAGGTTGCTTCCAATCTTGGCTGTTGTAAATCATGTTGCAATGAACTTGAAGTTGCACCCATGTTTTTTGAACTATATTTTTTTGGGTACAGTCCCACAAGATGAGTCGAATTACTGGATCTTGGTGTACTTCTATTTGTAATTTTTCAAAGAAATTCCATACTGTTTTCCATAGTGGCTGCTCCAATTTATAATAGTGCACAATGGCTTGCTTGCTGTTCTCCACATTCTTGCCAATATTTGTTACTTATTTTTTTGCCTTTTGGATAACAGCCATTTCACAGGTGTGAGGTGATAGCTCATTGTGGTTTTGATTTACATTCCCCTTGTGATTAGGGATCCTGAGCATCTTGGCATGTACTTGTTGGGCATTTGTATGTCTTCCTTGTAAACATCTATTAACACATTTTAGAAATGTCTCTGCCCTCGCAGTTTTATTTTGCCCTTATAGCACAGCACATGCATTGTCTAATATATATTTTAATTATTTATCCTCTCATTCCCCCCATCAAAGCATAAGCAATTGTGTCTCATCCTTGTGTTTAAAATAGTACCAAACACATAGATACCATTCAAAACATTTATTGATTAACAAATTTTTCAGTATAGTTAATCCTAGGAAAAAATAAGAGGGGAGGAAGGAAGATACACTTCAGGAAAATTCTAACGAATAAGAGCTATAATTCCAGTTTTTATTTATTATATCTTTTCCCAATTATTCATTTACAGTTGTCTGCTTCATTCTTGATAAGTATCTGGGCTCCACAAAAAAGGAGTGAATGCTGTAAGCAAAGTTCATTTATTTTCATGATGCTCCTCTTTTGACTTTGAGTCTCTGTTCTCCTGGAGTCCCAAGAGAATGGCATCAGCCTCCAGTATAGTTGTATCTGTCGTTGCCCCCAGGAACCTGGATGTAAGTTCAAGATCTAAGAGCCGCAGCCGGACTCTGGTTCCTTTCTGGTATTTCCTAAAAGGTGAGAGAGAAAAAAGCTTCTTAATTCTGTTTATCATAAGAGGAACAACTAAATTTTAATGTACTAGCTGAACTTAAAAAAGTTAACCTTCCTATCTGTTTTTAACAGAAAACAACTGTGGTTTCTAGCAGAATGTTCATCTTACAGTTGCCTTTAAAGATATAGAACATTAAATGTATTCTAAAGTGAAATTCAAACTAGCTGGTTCTTGAAACTAACATTTAATATGTTACTGATTTTTAAAATCAGAGTAACCAGGAAAAAAGTTTTCAGTCTTTTTTTCTTAGATTAAAATCTTTTAAAGTAAATTTATAAATGTAAAATAGAAAAAAAAAAATCTAAGTGCAAAGTACTTTGTCCTGGGGATTGATTGCTACGTAACTGGAGTGGAATGCTGGTTGCAACATGCACGATGACTCACCTTGGTCAAAATTCAAATATTTTATAATAGCCAGTGAAAAAAATAGACTCATTTGCTTTCCTCCTTAATCATTTCAAGAGTTTAACATCAACGTTTTGATAAAATACAGGAGAGTAAAAATATTGCTACTGATTGAAAATTAGTAAATCTTTAAAGACAGGCACTAGGCTATTTGGCTTTTTAAAGTTATTTTCTTTCTGAATATAGAAATGTTCTTTTGCAAAATTTGGCAGTAATGAATTCAGTCACATTTTCTAGTCCTCCCGGAGGTGTATTTTTACGTATGTACACATGTGTATGTGTGATCTGTAGGTAAAGATCATATTTTCTTCTTTGTTTAAAAAAATTAGAAATACCCTACAGTCTATTTAGTGAATCAGAACTTTTTTATATTACATACTCCATGTGAATTGATCACTGGGAAAATAAGGTCACTTCACAGTTGTCTCTACGTTACTTGGAGCTGCAACTTGCATTCTAAGGACTTCATTCATCTGTCCTCACAGCACGAATCACATGATTCACTGGTCAGGTTTCATTCAGGTTGTGCCCTTCCTTTGCCCCTTCGCCCCTGCCACATCTAATTAGGATATTTTGTTCATATACTTTTTTATCACAGCTATTTCTTGAACTTAGCCCTTCAAGTCTCATCATCCTTAGTTACATGATCTTCCCGGACCTCACCTTTCTAGTTCATTCCTTCCGGTGGATTCCATATCTGGTATGCTTGGTGGGAAATGGCCTAGTGTCCACTCACATCTTTCTACTCCTCTATTTTTTTGCATCTGTGCTTGGTTGGCACTGCTTGAGCTTTGCATCTTTATCTAAATGCTGTTGATTCTTAAGCATCCAGGTAGAAGTCATCAACTGCTGCTTTTATAAGCACTGCCATTCCCCTTGTCAAAGTGAATTGGCTGTCAGGGGAAGTCCCATGGAATAAAGAGGTTTTGGACATTTATTTAAGAGATTCCAAAGACTTTGCAGCTTTGCTGTGAAAATACATGTAGGTTAACATATGGAAAACACAGCACTAGGAGCAAATATTACTGTCCTTCAGTTATTTGTGATGGTTATCTGTGTAAGTCTCTGATTTCTCACTTGACAGTATGCACGCCTCATATTGTATTATTTATCCCTGTGTTCTCCCAGAGCCAGTGCAACAGGTACTCAAATATCTGCCAATAAACTAACAAGAAGCTTGCTCATAAAGGCACTAGATCATGGATTATCTAGAATTTCTATTTTCTTGACTTCAGCAGCTATGCTGACTGGTTCATTTACTTAACCTCTCTGAAAGTTGCTTGGATGTAGTCTGACATATAAAGATTGATAAATGTTAGTTTTCTTTTCCTTTCATTGTTTTTTGTTGGTCTACTTCTTTTTACTCACTCACAGGCAGACTATAAACTGAACATGATGAGGTATCCCTTTTTATAAGGCAATGAATATGACATGAACACGTGGACAAGTGTTCTGAGCACAGTCACATGGAAAAAGAAGCTCTGTTTTGTGTCCAGAAATTACATTCTGTGTCAAATAAATGCAGCAGTGTGCAATTAAAAAATAAAACCAGAAACATCATGAATGCTCAATATGTTTGGTAATTTATGAAAGACAAAATTTTGTTCCCAATTTCAGATGCAGTAGCCTTTAATAAAAATTATGGATATTATCCAGTAAGCTGGTAAATTTGATGAAAAGCAAACTGGAGGCCTTTCCGTGTGCTAAATAACAGAAGAAACATGGAAATGTACACAGTGTACAGTGAACAAAATTAAAGACCTCTAGAAGTTTCTGATCTCTGCCCATGAAAACAGTTGTTTCTAGTTTTATGATACATTATTTTTTTAAACTTATTTACTTTAATTAAACAATAACCTGTATATTGATATTATTAATTATTAATTTTGTATATGATGTATTAACATCATTATACTGAGTATTATTTAATTATATGTCAGTGATATTTTTCTTATCAGACTGTAAGTTTGTTAAGAACAGGGCTGTAGTCCTATCTATGTCCCTTCTCTTAAAATACTATGGAAGATACATTTCACTCAATGCAGCCTTTTGGTTTTCACATTTTTTCAATACCTCAGAAGCACCTGGGTAACTTGCTAAAAAACAAAGGGCAGGAAGCAACCCCCTGGAGTGATTTGACAAGTGAGGGAGGGGGACCTGGCATTTGCCTTTTTAACCAGTTCCCCAGGTGCTTCTGATGCAGTCTTCTCTGGTCACTGCTCAAGAAACTCAGACCTAGATTTACCTTTGTTGCATACAGTCAAGTACAGGAGGAGAGGATACTCTACACAAACACAAAGGGCCAGTAAAACAAGGCCTCTCAGAATTTTGTGGCCACCATTAACCACTCCCAAGGGAAACATGTTTTCCATAAGTGATGACAGTTTTGTAGGATGAATAATGTAGACAAGATCAAAACCACAAGTGAGGCAATGGCTGTACTCAATGGACAAACGCTTGGAAGAACAGCCCCTGTGCAAACCTCACGGAAGCCTGGAACAGGGATGCCTCCACTCTGCACATTCCGGGACATGGGTGGAGTGGGGGAGAGGTGGGCGGAAGCACAGTTCTCCCTCAACAGAACAACAGTCTGATAATTAATGTGGATTTTGATTTTTAACTCTGAAAACACTTTATTAAAGAGGAGGAGAGAAATAACTAATATCTTTCTGAAAACTCTTTCTGCCCATGTAATTTGATATGATTCTGTATAGGAATCTTTGATATTCACTTAGACTACTAGTTTTCCCATTGTTCCACATAATAAGATTTAAGTTTACTGACATGCCAGTAAACTCCTCCAGACTGTTTGTGCAATCTTAAAATGGTCACTTTATTCAAAGATTTCTGCACTAAGTCTAAAACTCCAGAAGAGGCAATGTAGTGATTAAGAGCATGGACTCAAGAATCAGATGACTAGAGATGAAGCTAAGTTCTATCATTATAAATATACAACTCAGAGCTGTTTTCTTTTTCTATTGCAGTTTCTTCATTTGTAAAATGGGAATAATTATACCCATCTCCTAATTTCTGTAAGTATGAAGTAAGTTAACGCATGCCAAGCCCTTATAAATGCTGAATAAATGTTAGCCATCATCATCAATCACCACCACCATCACCCACCATTTCATCAAAACAAGCCCACTGACACCTGGTACTACAGTGATGGCATGATGGAGCATTCAAGAGTACTCCTAGTTAGCTGTAATTTCAAGTCATAATTAAATCAAAAAAAGATTCCGGTAGGAAGGAAACTGGTAGGGAGACGGGGAGGATGGCTTTTCTTTCAGTATTTGCTTTGACTCAAATTCTACTTATTTTAATAGTATAAGGATTCCTCTCTTAAAATATTAAGTTCTACAAAAAATGAAAACAATATCTTTTGAAATGAATGTTGAATTTCCTTTGAGGATATGAGGCAAAATAGCACTGAACAAAAGCAAGTAAAATTCAAAGAGTTACATACTTAACAGTTCACATTCCCAGCAATAACCACAATATAACTGGAAATAAGAAAGCAGCATCCATTTCATTGTCAGTCACAGAAGGGTGACAATGATCTTTTTCACTCTAGGATTTTTTCAACAGTGGCTCAAGGAAGACAGGGCATAGTTCCCAACTTTACTTATCTCTTATGACTCTTGCTTTTTTATTTGTTGATGGTGTTAAGCCTTCTATAAATCTATTCTAATTAAACCAACCATCCCTTTTTATGACTTTATAGACCTGAATCTAGTCTACCTGTTCTATGTTTTCTTTCTATAACAGATTGTTTGAAAACCAGTTCTTCCTCATTCCATTGATTTTATCAGTGGACTCTCCCTTCACCTCTATCCTTGCCCCATGCAAAAATACCCATCAGCAAAATTTTGCTACAATTTCAAGGGGGTCAGTCACAGCTCACTAGATGTCATCTGCAGAACTCTATGATTAAGACCTCTAGATTTTAGGTCTGTTTATCTTTCTTAAAGTAAAGAAAGACAGTAACTATAAGACAAAAGTTCATTATACGTAAAGAATGTTCTCTTTCATTATCCTTGGGAATGAATAAGGGCAGGTGATAAAAGAATCAAGTTCCCAGGCATTACATTTTTCATTAAAAAAATGTAATATAAGATAAAACAAAAAATATACCAATTAAAGGAACAGGCTTACAATGATTACCTTATGAGTTTTGATGGGTCCACCATTTTGAATACTATTCCATAAAGCAACAGGTTTTCTAAAAACTGCTGGAAATGCTTAAAGTTACTTTTAGGTTGCCACAAGAATCAAGTTGATATTCAGCAGGGTTGGTTGTGATGTAGACATTCTGTACTTCACAGAACTTTTTTGTACAACAGAATTGTTCTGCATCTGAGCTACACATTTATAAGTGGGTGAAAAGTCTGCTTATAATTATCTAAACCTAGAACTATGTCTACTAAAGATAAAAAAATTGTTTAAATAAAAGTTTAAGTATACACAAAATCTCCAAGAATGTAATTACTGTATAAACTGAAAGAAGACTGACTTTGTTCAGAATGTTAGCAGTTGTTCACTATTTTAGAA